TCACTAGTGGAGTCTGAACCCATGAGGTGTCTTAAGTTTGAGAAGGGTCTCAAGAATTCTGTGAGGAGGTCATTGGTGGCCTTAAGGATTCAGAACTTCCGGGATTTGGTAGCTGCTGCTACGAGGGTGGAACAGGATAACTTGGCCTATCACCAAAGCAAAGAGGCAACTGGTCGAGTCTCTGTCTCTGGTAGACCTTCCGTTTCAGGTGGACCATAGCGGAGTGGTAGGAGAAACCGCAACCAGGGACAAACGGTTGGGGAGATAGCAAGCGGTGGCAGTAGTTCATCAGGGAGTGACAGAAATGCTCCGTATGGGCCCAGGTGTCACAATTGTGGGCAGGTGGGCCATATTAGGAGGAATTGTCCTAATCGGCCGCCGGCTCAACAAGCCCAAAGTGACGCTTCGTACAGTCAAGAAGGGCCACCACCGTACATGCCACCATATCAGTCACAACAGATGCCATACCCTCATGTGCCGACTTATCAACCACCTCTGCTTACACAATTTCGGCCTCAAGCGCCAAGACCGGTACAACCACCTCCGCCGCAACAGTATAGGCCTCCGACCCAACGGCCTAATGTTGGTGACAGAGGGAAAGGGAAGTACAGGGACAAGCTTATGCCCTGGCAGGAGGCAGTTCTGGAGGTCAGACCAGCAACGCGGTGGTTGAGGGTATGATTCTAATCTCTCATTCTTTTGCTCACGTGTTGTTTGACACAGGTGCCACACACTCGTTTATATCAAGTTCTTTTGTTCGGGCTTTGAAATTGAAATCTGAGAATTTAGAAGTCCCAATGACTTTGAACTCTCCACTGGGATGTGTGGAGGTAATGAGTGTGTGTAAATCGTGTGAAATCACGATTGGCAGTGAGCGATTGTAAGCATATTTGATTATCCTTCCGATGAGCCTGTTTGATGTGGTCCTCAGAATGGATTGGTTGTCAGAATACGGAGCAATTGTTGATTGTTACCGTAGGAGAGTGACTCTGACGACTAAGTCTGGAACATCGATTTCTTATCAGGCAGATCTGAATTCAATCTTGGGGAAACGACTGTTGAAGTACAGCGTTGGGGGACAGAGGAACATGGCATGTTTATCTTCTCTTCTTGCTCTCGAAGGTGAACCCGAGATAACTGAAGATAGTGCGGGAATCCCTATAGTGAATGAGTTTACAGATGTATTTCTTGATGAGCTACCTAGTTTACCGCCAAATCGAAAAATTAAATTCTGTATTGATTTGGTCCCGGGAACGACACCTATTTCCATTCCTCCATACCGGATGGCCCCAGCAGAGATGAAAGAATTAAGAACGCAGCTTGAGGAGCTGGCAGAAAAGGGATATATCCGGAATAGTACTTTCCCTTGGGGTGCACCAGTACTATTTGTGAAGAAGCACGACGGATCTCTTCGGTTATGCATTGACTACCGTCAATTGAACATGGTGACTGTGAAGAACAAATACCCACTGTCGAGGATTGATGAGTTATTCGATCAGTTGGGTGGATCACAGTTCTACTCTAAGATTGATTTGAGATCTGGGTACCATCAGCTGAAAATCAAGGAGGAAGACATTCTGAAGACTGCATTTAGAACTCGGTATGGGCACTTCGAGTTTCTGGTAATGCCGTTTGGACTGACAAATGCCCCGGCGGCATTCATGGATCT